GCTGTTGTTCAAACAGAACAAGGGGACACTGCGTGGTTTAAAATCAAGAAAGGGAGTGTGTCAGGGTTATATCCTTTCACTATGCTTATTCAATCTATATGCTGAGCAAATCATCTGAGAAGCTGGAGTATATGAAGAAGAATGTGGCATCAGGATTGGAGAAAGAATCGTTAAAAACCTGCGACACACTAATGACACAACTTTGCTTGCTGCAAGTGAGGGTGACTTGAAGCACTTACTGATGAAGTTTGAAGAATACAGTCTGCAGTATGGATTACATCTCAATATAAAGAAAACAAAAATCCTCACAACTGGACCAATAAGCAACATCATGATAAATGGAGAAAAGATTGAAGTTGTCAAAGAATTCACATTGCTTGGCTCTATAATCGACACCAGTGGAAGCAGCAGTCATGACATCAGGTGATGTATGGCACTGAGAGAATTGGCTGCAAAGGACCTCTTTCAAGTGCTGAAGAGCAAAGATGTATGCTTGAGGACTAAGGTGAGCCTGACACAAGCCATTGTGTTTTCAGTCACCTCATGTGCATATGAGAGCTGGACAGTGAATAAGGAAGACTGAAGAAGAGTTGATGCTTTTGAGTTGTGATGCTGGCAAAGAATGCTGAGAGTACCGTGAACTGCTAAAAGACCTAACAAATCTGTCCTGGAAGAAGTGCAACTGGAATGCTCCTTGGAGGCGAGAATGGCCAGACTTCGTCTCACCTACTTTGGTCATATTGTCAGAACGGACCATTCCCTGGAGAGAAGGATGTCATGCTTGGTAAGGTGGAGGGTCAACAAAAGAGGGGAAGATCCCCAATAAGATGGATTGGCACAGTGGCTACAGCGATGGGCTCAAGTATAGCAAGGATCGTGTAGCTGGTGAGGGACCAGACAGTGTTTCATTCTGCTGTGCATAGGGGCGCTATGAGTTGGAGACAATGCGACGACATCTAACAACAACAACATAGCAGCAAAACTCTTCAAAGAATGTTTCTTTACCTTCTCTAATTCCTCTTTTTCCATTCTCTTTGAAATCCACTCCACTCAGATTTTTGCGTCCTGGTACTCCATCAAAACTGCTTGTGTCAACAAGATGAACATTTCCATCAAGTAGATACACTTTTGAGAACAATCGACCATGGGCAGTCAGAAGGGCAGTATTTGCACAGGGAGATAGCTCAGAGGGCAGAACTGCATAGGGAAAAAGAACACAGGGAAAAGGTAAGAGGAAGTGGGAAGAGAGCTGTTACCTTGTGGGGATTACAGTCAATGTCATGAAACAAAATGTGTATGAGCTGTTAAATGGAAAATGAATTTGCTCTTCTCCGTCTGGCCTGCTTGCTCTCACTGCATTAGCCCTAACACTCCAGGTACACTGCCCCCTCAGGGTCTGTAAACTTTCACCCAAATCACAATTAAAAAAAAAAAAAAATTGCTTCTGTCAAGATTACTAATACCCTTCACAATATTAATCCAGTAGTCAGTTCTCATTCTTCATTTTCCTGGAACTCTCAGCAGCTTAGACGTAATTGGTGACACCTTTCTCGGTGAAACACTGTTTTCAATTGGCTACCAAGTGAAAACTGGATTTTCTTCTATCTCAGTGTCTGCTCTCTCTCAGCCTGCAGCTCCTTCCAGGGCTTAGTCCCTGGACAGCTTCTCTGTCTGCATTCTCATCTAGTCTCATGTCTTTAAATGCTGTCTCTGTGCTGACAGCTCCCTAAGTTATATCCCCACTCTGATCTCACCTACGAACATCCGATTTATATAACCCACTACTAGGTACTCAGTCTCTCTACTGAATGTCTAACAGACATCACAAACAAACAGACCTGTTTAACCTGCTGTCTTTCTCTTGTCAGCTAATAGTAAATTCATCTTTTTGGTTACTCAGGCCAAAATCCTCATCTTGTCTCTTCTTTCACACCTCCCATTAGTCCCTTAGAAAATCCTGTTGTTCTACCTTCTAAATTTGTGTGGAATCTAATCACTTCCCATTACTGCCACAGCTACCATTTTTCCCAAGCCATTGTCATCTCTCACCTAAACTACTGTAGTGATTTCCTAACTGGTCTACTACTGCTGTCCTTGGCCCTCTACACAGTCTTTTCTTAATAGAGCAGCTGGAACATTTCTTTTAGAAAGTAAGTCAGATCTTGTCACTACTCCATTCATAATACTCCTATGGCTCCTCATTTCTCTGAGAGTCAAAGTCAGTGTTCCTTGTCCTGCTGGCCCTGTGTGGTACACCCTGCAGTACCTTCCGACCTCCTTGCCTGTTGATCTTCCTCTGGCCTGCTTGCTCTCACTGCTGTAGCCCTCACACTCCATGCACACTTCTTCTTCAGAGCCTGTTCACTGGGGTTCCCTCTGCCTGGAACACTCCTCCCGGATAGTCTTATGGCTCATTCCCACCTCCTTCAAGTCTTTGCTCAAATCTCACCTTCTTAGTGAGGCCCACCCTAATCACTCTTTTAAAAATATTGTTCCCCACTGTTAGATAGATAGAGATAAATATTGATTTGGGTGAAGAGAAGGGCAATGTACCAAATA